TCCCAGAATTCCCCAGCCAGCTGGGGAATTCTGGGAGTTGAAGTCCACATGTCTTAAAGTTGCCAGGTTTAAGAAACACTGATTTAAATCTTGCCATCCACCCCAAAGAACACCTGCTCAGCTTATTTTTGCCGGGTCATATAGGTAGAGCCAAGAGGCCCCAAATTAGCAAATAAGCATTAGGGTTAAGGGGGGAATTGTACCTGATAAAGCCTTCCTCAGCCTAACCATCTCCAAATGTGCCAGACTACACATGGGCTTTTTATACTGTTTTTGAACGTACTGCTTGCCACCCAGAGTTACGTACAGTATTTAAGTGGAGCAGCTATGTAAATATTCTACAATAAATAAACAAATAAACAAACTCCAATCATTCCCAAAGAATACACTCCAGCATATCCAGGAAGCATGAATCTAGGAAAGTGAATCCAGATGCTCCTTTGTTTAAGACCAGTAGTCTAGCCACTATGCCCTACTGCCTCCCACGCAACCAGCTCAGCACCAAGGGAGGCATAATAACATTTTCCCCATCATCCCTTTCACTGCACAAGATGATACTCTGGTTTCCTGATGCTCCAACTCACAGCACACTACTATCGTTGTAGGAATGATGCTGTGCGTGACACAGAATCACAAAGGTAGTAAAATTAGCCCTGAGCCAGCCCGCATCCTATTTAGAATCCATGCGCTGTGTCAGCACGGTGCTGATCTCCGTCCCACTCCCAGTCCTACACCACCAGGACCTTCTCCTTCCAGCTGTTGCTATACCACATTCACCTGTCAAGAAACACAAGCTCATAGCCACATCACATCTGGGACTGCCTGAAATGTTAGTGCTTTGGGAGTCGTGTGTTTCTTTCGTGCAAAATTGCCCAGTTTCTAACCGACTCCCCCAACTAGCTCCATCAGCTTAGGTAGTACGATGCCATTCTAAATATTTATATTCCTGTGCTAGTGGTATGAGCCTCCCCCACGCCCCCACCAACACAGAGGGATAGAAAATTCACCTAGATGCCTGTCTTGAAGGCAACTTGCCTATAAAAGACATTCTTCTGAAGAAGGCAATCAGCCAAGGAGGGATGAGAAATACCCAAAGCTTAAATCCACTGGCACATACAGTACATGGCAGACAGACACACACACATCACCCTTATTCACTGTATAAGACAGGGATCATCCCCAATAAATCATAAGGCACACAATATAATATTAACATGGGGTGGAAGGGGTGGGGTTACAATAACCCCAACGTATGAAAAGACACATGCGATATGCTAATCCAAGGAACATGGGAATTAACGGGAATCATGCAAAAATATCAGGGCATCAAGCAGACAGGCGTACAATACCCTCTGTGTAATTCTTTTTCTAGACAGATTGATGCTCGAAAAAAACTGAGGGAAAAACCTTTTCTATCAGTTTCTTAGTCACATGTGTGCACACACAGACACACACGCATACACACTGCACAACAGTGCAAGCTTCCCCAATCTTGTACCCTACAAATCTGTTTGGACTACAACTTCCAGTATCCCCAGTGATCAGCCTCCATGGGGATGATGAGCATTGTAGCCCAACCAATGCATCTGGAAGGCTGGCGAAGGCTGCCTTGATGCAATGTCCAGAGAAAGGTGTTAAAGATTCTTGTATCCTCTCCTAGCCTGTCCTGTTAAACCCGCACAGCACACTAGCACAACCTCAGAAGTGTGCCAAGCAAAAGACACTACAGGGTTGCAAGAAATCCATCTCATGCACTGTCTGAAATCACAAATGCAACCCTACCTACCAGTAAGGACCTAAAGCAATGTATGGGTGACACCAATTCTCTCTCCCCTTGCCCTTACACACACACACCATAACAGATATTGTACCATTCTGGCAATACAACACCACAAAAGAAGTATGAATCTCTGAGGAGAGGTCTTATGCTCCTGACACATTGAGCGTCTTTCCTAGCAAGGTGGGGAAAACACTAAAAGCGTTTGCAGCAACATCACGTTGATGACAGTTGGTCCAAAGAGGTTACCCATCACCCTGTCTAAAACGAATGGGCACAGGTGTCGTTTTCACCCATGCACGAAAGCCAAAGACAGTCCAAAGGAAACAAAATTCCCAGCTCTGATGGGAATGTTATTCAGACCCAACGGAAATGACCACTTTTAGGAATAGACAGTTGTCCCAAGTAGGCTACACGCATGTGTAGTAGCAAAGAAAGTTGCCACCTGCAGTATCCCAGAATCTCAGGCTGAGGATTATTGTTCCAATAATGACTTGCCCTGGACTTCAGTCTCCACTATCCAGAAGCAGACTTAAGACAACTCTCTTTCTTCCCTTATGTATATGCCATACAGACACACACTTGCTATCAGCAAGGAATCAGAAGATGCGTGTTTTTCAAGCAGAAGCCAATTCCTTAAAAAAAAAAAAGAACTAGGAGGATTCAAGACCCCAACCATTACACATCTGCAACACACCTAGGTGCTACACAACCATCATTCCACTGTCTGGTAAGGAAAGGGAAAGGCCACAAGCTTGCAAGGCAGCCAAAGTTGTTCAAAGTAAGACTCCCATCTCCGAAGAATCAGCCCCAAAGGAAGAGGTAAACAAGGGGACTCCCCCTGAAGACCAGCAGGGGGGCTGGGGTGGGGATGGTGGGCCAGGTTTTCGGCGAAGACAGCACTCTGGTCTCGGGAGTTCTGCCCGGCATCCTGGTCTGTGAAGTGACACGGGGGAGCCTTCCTGGTTCCAAGGCGCGGGTGCAGAGGGGCAGGCACCCAGCCCCCCAGAAGAGGCAGGGCCCGGGGAAGCTGGCCCTGGGAAGGCCGGCAAAGGCTCTCCAGCACAGGCTTCGCCGACCACCCCGGGGAGGCAGGGGCCGGCCGAAAGGGCTGCCGCCTCGTCTCACCTTGCGGTTAGAATGCCGCGGGGGCTCCGGATTCCTCGCTCGCCTTCCACCGCACCTGCATCGCGTCCCCGGTTATTGCTTCCCCTTGTTTTGCACTCCGACGTCGGCGGCGGCCGGGGAGGGGGGCAGGTTGGGGGAAACCGCCTTTCCCCCTTTCTTGGAGGGGGGCGGAATATGGACCCCCGTCTTCAAGGGCCGGCCCTCTGCAAGCCCCAAGGCCAGGGGTCTACGGCTGAGCGCCCCATCCAGAAGTTTGCTTC